GCAGTGCGCCGCCTCTCTGTTCACCAGCACTGCTAGTAATGGGCCATCTCAGCCGTTTGTCAGAGATAGCTTTTAATGGCTGTTTTCCTCAGGGTCACATCATACCTCTACGATAATGCTATCTACACACTTAATATTACGTGTAACTGTACGTTAACGTCAACGCTGCGTGAATTATTTTAGCGGTAAGCTGGCTGTTTGTGACCAATGCTGTCCCGGTGGCTAACTTATAGAAGCTAAAGGGCTCTGACAAGCTAACAATCTTATTTACAGCTTTACAGTTAAGTGGGAAATTATAGTTTCTCTGATATGCCCTCCCATATCTCTTCAGTAGTGCCCGTCATACATACATCCCTGGTATCTGTCACAAATTATAAACTCTCTCAAGCTAGCTAACTTGACTTGACAGTTAACTGTTATCCTCTTAGCAACAACACTAACGTTTGATCGATTCATAGGGATTCTCGCGCTATTATATTAAGAAACTGGCCAGTAATTTAACTCTAACCATTTGCGTCTCCTAGTATTTAACGATAAAAATGGAACTGCAACACTTATCAGGTGATGACTGATGTAGCCTGTGCTAGCGTGTATAGACTCTGTATTGCATCTCCTTTGGCATATTATTAACGTTACGCACAAAGCTCGCAGAATTTGATTAGACAAAGCGGTCATTTTTAGTTGTATTTATTTGACAGTTGTGTTACCCTCCCACAGAAAAAAACTTACAGGAAACATTCGGTAGTTGGTTAGATAATGTTAGCATCAACGGGCCCCGCGCCTTGGTCGCCTTTGATGGTATACTGCTAATAGCAAGAGAGCAGTGCATTGTTTTTTTCTTCTTTTTATTCGTTTGTTTGCAGGTGTTAACGTGTTGTGTTGTTCTAATTTGGCCTCTCCGTGACGTAAGTCGACGTCGTATCATGGTTCAGCAGCTAGCACAGTATCTGTTTTACGAGACATATTGTGCTGTTGTCGGACCTGAACAGCTAGCAGTTACGCTAAAGTAGCGTCTCCACCATAACGATGCACTTTGCTAACCTAGTTTACCAGGTTGCTGGAGCAATCTGTGAAATTAAAATCTCTTGTTTTAGTATTCATGGCAAATTTCGGACTCTTGCATGCACTATATCTAGAGAAACGGAGATTACGTAATAGTGGTCGCTGCAATAACCAAAGCTTAGGGCGCTGTAGTAGCGTTATGTCAGAGGGAAACACTGTTACTGTTCCAATCTGTCTGTGTAGCTACTGCAGTAGCACTTTACTTCCGAGCTATATATAAACATAGATTTATTCAAGCCAGCAAAAAATAATAATAAAAGTCACGGTCAACCTATGTGGCGATGTTTAGCTTTTTACACAGGGATTGATTCACAGCCTTATGTTGCAGTTACCAATCTACATACATTTAAAGTATTACTTAGGTTAGAATGGTGTTAAAAAAAAGAAAAAGAAAAGGAAAACGTGCAACACTTACATTATATCTGTTTTTCTCAGGAACTGAATGATTTGGCACGGGATCCACCAGCCCAGTGTTCTGCAGGACCAGTAGGAGATGACAGTAAGTTATCTATAAACCTGCGTTCTGTTTCAGTTCCTCTGCAAAGCTATTTCAATTGCAGCCTTGCTTAATTTTGGAAAGAGAAAAAATAGGCTTATTTTATTAACAGGAGTTAATGAATAAGGCTGAAGAGGAAATCAAATCCAGCCGCTTCTGCTGTCCATGAGGAATGGCTGAAGTTGGGTCTCCTTTTCAAATGTGTGTGTTTTGATTTATTCTTAAATGTCAGCCCAGGTCAAGTATAAACAATGTTTATTCTGTGGAAAAAGAAATAGTTCATTCATGTGACTAACATATTCCCACAACTCTAATTTTGCCTTGTTCTGCACATCAGTTCTTTAATTCTATATTTTCTAAAGCTTCATGTAATATGGATTTATTTTTAAACTTACTGCCCTCAATTTGATAACACTAATAAAAACAAGCTACCAGCATTCCAGCAATAACATCCCCCTCTGTTATTGGTAGGTTTATTCTTTACTCGTCAGATCACTGTACAAACTGTGGATTATTTTAACATAATATTCCCAAATGACACAATTGTGGTTATTTGGACATGTGCAGATGTAATATCCGGCAGACAAACTTTAGAAGCTTTGTTAACCACTGGCTGGAAGTGATTTACACAAAATGCTTTCAAGTCCAGGTTTTGTCAAACAGAAAGGGAAATGGAAGTAGTATCAGATGATTCAAGTGGATTTAATCTAAATCAGGAAGTACCTCTGCCTCTACGCCCCCCCCCCCCCCCCCCTCCGCATATTGTTGTTTTGCAGACAAATCCAGGAAATGCCCAACTACCTGCTGTGAGAATTACTGGGTTATTATATAATTAAGATATTGTTCATTGTATTTCTTAATATTGGCTTTATGGACTTTATTTGGACTTTTAGATCAATAGGATTCTTGTTGCCTAATATTTTCTTCTTTATCCCCTTTTTGAAATTTCTTAGATTTCTGTTGATGTGAGTGCTGATGAGGTCGGTGTCAGCTGAAAGCTAGGGTTTCTAATCTGTCTAGCACTAATTTCAGGCACATGCAGTAAAGATTAGGGCGACATCCAGGAGAAACTTCTAACTTACATTTGTAATCTTACTGTAACCTGATATAGATAAAGGCTTTGCTAAAAGTAAAGTGAGAAGTCACCTATCCACCTGTAATCGCACATCTATTTGGACAGCCGTCTCCCAGTCACATCTGGTAAAATGTCCCTCATGTTGAGTTATAAAGATGAAGCCTTTAGTGTGTTCATATGAATTTAATTAATATGTCCACGCAAGATAGTTAGCGCCAGAGGGTTTTCTCTCCATATTCAAACTCTGATTATGACGTTAAAATTAAACTGATCCCCTATTTCACCTTTGGTATAGTAGACAGTATAACACAACCTTAGTTTAATTCTTTAAAATAAACTGCTCTCTTAGTGAACAAATAAGAGAGCCCTTTTTTTTTCTTTTTTTTTTTTTCAATTCAAGGGAAATCTTACTATTTCACTTTATCATGAAAAGTGAAAAGAACCAATGATTTCAGTCGGTCAGTTGTATAAGGACTTCTGAAATTGATCACTTTGCAGTGAACATCTCTGTATGTTTAATTGACTGACGTGTTAAGTAAACCCGGCCCTCTAATCGGTCGGAATTGCTGACAAAATTTCATAGACATTTGCTGATTGTTCATGATATTGACGCAGATTCGATACAGTGTTGCAAAGTAAACATGCTGAGGCTCAGGAAGGCTGCAGCGGCCTTTTAGGGTGAGCTGATGATTATCGTGACTGCAACACCTGGGTTCCACAAGGGACCAACACCATCACCTGTATGTCATGTTTTGAGGTCGGAGCGCCACAGATTACAGCACACGTTTCACCGGATTATCGTATGATTCACCACAAATTAGGGTATGAGTTGCTTTTTGCCGATTCGTCTTCTTATCTCTCCCTCGATATGTAGTTGTTGTTGTACGCACATACGCAGATAAATATCTCTTCGTGGAGAGAATAGCCATAAGGTGTTGATGTTCCAGGAAATCCAGTGGTGTGAGAGGTTATGTGTGAGGGCAACAAATGTGCTTGACGGGAGGCAACACTTCACTAGTAGCTGTAACAAATACCCCCCCTCCCGTGCTTCAGTTGTACTGGCAAGGTTAGAAACGTGGAGGTGCTTATTTTCCTGTGGAAATAATCAAATTATATATCCTGTAGGTGCCCCGGGATTTTTTCTTCGCAGCCGACATGTTTTGACAGGAGGAAGGATAAAAAAGCCAAATAATTCCCATGAATCTGACAATTAGGAGGTTGTACAAAAGAAGTATTTTGTCTTCAGCACTATGGGGTTTAGCCTCAAGTGTTGCACTCATGATCTTGGCATCTTCAGTGGCACCTTTTATTTATTAATTTTGTTTTTGAAACGTTTTCATTTTGTCTTTCTTTTTTTTTTCACACTGGAATGACTGCATCAAGTTGTACCTGTAAAATCCTGTAATCCCCCAACAAGTAAAATCCCCTCTGCAAAAGTGTACAGGAGAGCTTTTCTTACAGCACGTAATTGTTGTGGCTTTTTGTTTTCTTCCTCCTGGTGTCACATTTGTCTCCAGACTTCAACAGAATCGGACTTTTTTTTTTTTTTCTTTGCTTTTTTTTTTCTACAAATGCACAAAATAACTATTTCCATGCAGGAAGCACTTTTTGTATTATCCATATTTTAAGAGTAAGTTCATTGTTATCCAGGACGATTTTGAAGAATATTTGTCCTTTTGTGTACATTTGAACATGAGTACTTCATGTGGCATCATTTATTCTAAGACTCGAGTCCCACACTTTCTCTCACATTAACTCTTTTTTTTTCTGTTTTTCTTTCAGTGTTTCACTGGCAAGCCACAATAATGGGACCGGTAAGTACCCACATGGTCACATCTCCGACATAAACTGCTTTAGCCTCCACTTTGAACTTGGTCACATTCAAGATGAAAGTGTCCTCATTCATTTCTACATGCAAACCTTTGCTGCACCTATGAAGCAGGGAATTTTCCAGCATGCTTTCATGGGTTTAGTCAGAAAGAGCATCAGCCTTTCCTCGTATTTAGTGCTTTTTTTTTCTTTTCGTGATAGAAGTTGACAACTGCAACGGAGCAGCTCACAAACAAAACGTATCTCTTTCTGTGCATTAGAATGACAGTCCTTATCAGAGCGGGGTTTTCTTCTTGACCATACACTTCCCCACAGACTACCCCTTCAAACCGCCAAAGGTAAGATGGCCATTCATGGCGGCATTTAAAGTGTGTGTGTATGTGTGTGTGTGCGCATGAAAAAAAAAGAAGACGTACATAAAGTAACTGCACCACATAGGTGCTCGTCTTGCCTGCTAAACCATGCAGCCGCTTCATCATTGAGTTTCCTGTTGTGCCTGTAGTCAGCCCTCCCCTTTCGCTCTATCTCTACTCTCAGGTTGCATTTACCACAAGAATCTACCACCCAAATATCAACAGCAACGGCAGCATTTGTCTTGATATCCTGCGATCACAGTGGTCTCCAGCTCTCACCATCTCCAAAGGTAAACTTGCCAGCTCTTTAGTGTCCTAAGCAAAATTTTAGCAGTATTATTGAACTGGCAATGAGGTTAAATGCCAACTTTCACTTAATAATTAGAGTCCTTCCTACAAACAAAGAGGTCCCCTTTAAATGCAAACACACTTTTAACACATCCACGAGTGTTTTCAAAGTCCTTCTTAAATTTGTTATCAGCATGTCTGTAGCGGTGACACACGCCGAGTCCAACTTCAGACTTGAAAATGTGTGGGTCTTTTTTTGTTGTTTAAGAGAAAATTGTTTTCTTTTCTTAATTCATTTTAACCCGATCCTGGTTCTTGCCAGTTCTCCTGTCTATCTGCTCCCTGCTGTGTGACCCAAACCCAGACGACCCCTTAGTACCCGAGATTGCCCGTATCTACAAGACGGACAGGGAAAAGTAAGCGCTTTGCCTTGTTAATACCTACTGTTACAGAACCACCCTAATCAAAGCCACTCCTAACTCTCATTTTACACACACATTTGTCTCATAAAATACTCAGTTGATGGCAGAAATGCAGAGAAAGGGAATAATAACTGCTACGTTTAGAACTCGTTGCGGAGTTCCTGTTAAAAAAAAAAAAAAGACTAAAAATCAATCAGTGCTTCTAAAGACTTCTGTGGAATACATCTTTAGGAAATAAATTAAAAGTTTTAAAAACATGACAAAAATCTGACTACGGTTACTGCTCCACCTGTTTGGTCGGCTTAGATAGAACATAACAAAAAACAATAACTTCACTCCCCATGGGGGAAACTTGAACAGTCTTGTTGCTCAGAAGTTGTGTATTTACAATCATAAATATCTTGACATGCTTGATTGGAGAAAAAAGGTAAATATCATTTTAAAATGGGAAAACCTTCAGTCTCAGAGGCTCTCTTTCTCTAATATGGACAGAAGTGCACTTGTCAGCGCAATCACAGCAATCCGAGATCGTTCTGTCATTAAATGACAGCCTAAGTGTCTTGCTTTTCACAAGTACTCGCATTGCTAATTGTGGTAAGCAGGAAAGTGAGTGTTCCATGCTTTTACCTGTCAAGCAGAAATGATGGAAATTATTAGAGCCCATTTGTTAGAATATAGCAATTGTTGCTTGTTATACTGATAAGGTGATGGAGTATTAAGGTATAATAGCCTTAACGTGGTAAATAAGCAGCCGAATGTCCCCTATAAGTAAAGTTTGAGAATTTTTCCCTGTTAATGCTTTCAGTTGAGCTGCAAAAGATTTATTCCTCACGTTGCCGTCTTCAGCCCACTTAATCTCCTTCTGATGTGAAATTTACAGGAGACTAACTTTTCCTCAAATATAAATGTGAAAGTAATCCCTAATTTGGGAACATTAACACTGTAAGCATGAAGGGGAGAGGAGTTTCATGCTTTTCCTTCATTTTTATATGAACGAGCATCAGCTCATCCCCGTTAGTTCGAAAACCCAAACCTAAATGTGGCCCTGAACCTCAATGTCATGTCTTTTGGCCTTCAGCTAACATCTTATTCTCTTGTCTGTTTGCAGGTACAACAAAATAGCTCGGGAATGGACACAAAAGTATGCAATGTAGTGCCGGGGCAGAAATGTGGCCAACCACCTCTATGACGTAAGGCTAGGGGAGCATCAGATGTAAAGAGAAAACAAACACAAAACCATACAAACAAATGAAAAGTCTAAAACAAGATCTTGTTGGTTTCCATTGGAGTGCTTTCTTTGAGCCACGCCTCCCCTTCACCAGAGTTCCTGTAAAACTCCCTCTGACCCCCCCCTCTCCTCCTTCCCTCTCTCCTTTATGTCTCTTCCCTCTGTATCTCTTTCTCTTTTTTGACCCCCCCCCCCCCCACTCACATTCGGCTCACCTACCCATATTTGTATGTGCATA